TTTTACTTTGCAACCGATATTCGGAACATGGAATTTCAAGTACATTTCCTTTYAATCAGCTTGATWACCTAAGACAAATATTAAKCGTGCACCCCCCTGGTATATGATGAAAAGATTTGAATATAAAAGTCGCACATCTCGTCTCAAGGTATGATATTTTTTTTGGACACCATGAAGATCATCTTGCTGGCTCTTCTTGCAGCCTCTGCCCTAGCAGGATTTGAAGGTATTACTAAGTTCAATTCTTTCTATTTCTTTTTTCCATTGATTATTTTCATTTGAGAAAATTAAATTTTAAATTTTAAAAATAAATCAAATACTAAATTCCATTTTGATTATGTAATAGGGGCCATAGGTTTCTTAGCTACTGGCTATTTTAAAGTGCTATCCTCGAGAAAAAAGGACGATTTAATTCATGAATCTAAACATGTATAAATACACACAACAAATTCAGAGCCCGCGAAGCGGAGTAAGCTCAAAAGTTCTGGTATTTGAACCGAACCTTTTGAACTGCCCTGGAGAAAGATGACGTGTTAGAGTGCGCCACCCATGCTTCATCCAAGAGAACCGACAAGCAATAGATCCTTTAATTTTCACCGTTGCCTGCACTATCTTGGAATGTAGCCGAGCAGCACTATTGATCTTTTTTACACCTTCGAGACTAATCCACATGTTTCTATCATTGCTATCATTGTTTGAGCCACAAGTTTGTTAGTGTTATTAACGCTATTAGGTGCTACCCTCTATAAATAAAGGCTATTATTATTGCAAGCTCAACATTTGTCTCGCTTCGATTCAAAGACACCGCTACCTTTCACGATGGCGCAGAGAACTGTGACAGGGAATATTCTACTCATATGATTTGAGGCCCGACGGGACAATTTGTTGCCAATCCACGTGGATATATTTATTTATTAAAGTGTTTTTCTTACTTCAATGAATTCATTTCTATTTATAATAGAAAATCGAGGTATCGAAGATCCTGACCTGTTTGAAGGAGACATCAAACTAACTGAAGGACAAAGAACAGAACTGGASACGAGAGGAGAAAGAGCATCCATCAATACCAGACTATGGCCTAACGCACAGATTCCCTACGATGTTGAAGCCTCTATTGGTGAGTACATTTTTCTTTATTTGTCAAGTTCACATTCTCGTCCCCAGACCCTACAATGAATTAGGCGTAACGCTTTTGTTTCCCAGAATATATAGTTTTACAATAAACGAAATTCAAGAAGGTGTAACATTAGTTGTACAGTAAATTTAAACATAATTCGTAAAAGAATTGAAGCGTTTCGATCAGAGTATATATTTCATAATTTTACATATCAGGTTTTGCTCCATACATTAGTGTCAAAGTTGGAGTTGAGAAAGGTCACTCCATATATGGAATCACATAATTCCATATTTGGATTGCGGGTCTTTACCCTGAGGTCAAAGATGGAGGGCAAACGTGTTCGTCGGCTGGCGAAACGACTGAGAGACATTTACGAGCTTGGCGAAGACGAAAAACAAGAAAAAACTACAAAAAATACGAAAAAAAACAAAAAAAAACTACTTCTCCCCAGTCCCTTTTTTAATTCCGGGAAAGAAAACTTTGACACTCATTGTTTGATATGTAATTACTCAAACAGCACGAATCAAGACTGTCAATTAAGAAATACTTTATTATAATCGATATCGATATAATAAGACCGCTACAAGATGATCTCGGAAAGCGCGCAATGCATGACTTTCTGACTTGAAAAAGAATCAATCCCTAACATGACAGCGCGCCTAGAGTCGAAACATTGCCGTTAAGGACGCCATTTTGTTTTGGGTTGGATTTGAATATGTATTCTTTTGAAATATAGTGCGAAATATTGGCGAAAAGAAGTCATAGCTGCACATTTGAAGTCTATAGTAATGTTTCAAGTTATGTACGAGAAAACATTTTACAAGAAAAGCTTATTTTAAGAGTGTTTATCCGTTTTTTTTGCAATTCGTATAGCCAACAAAGTTAACCTTACGAAGTTTTTTGCTTCGAAAATGATTGAAAATGTGATTGCTCAAATTGCTATTTAGTAGTAGGGTGTATGTAAGTATATTGATAACAATAAACCTTTTTTGATTTAAAAATGTGTTGTATTTACGTGCTATTCTTATATGTGCTATGTTCTTGATTATTACCGATCCACACATATCTTGTTTTTTTTTAATGCTTCTCGAGGCGCGCAAAGGTCTATGGGGATTGATTCTTTTTCAGCAAACGCTATTCGCAATCTGATAGGCTAATCGAAATCCGTCAGATCACCTGGTAGATATTTGATTGACATGGAAGCCAATACCCCAACCGTATCGAATTATAGCTACTTGCATTGCGTAAATCTTCGGCTAAACCTAACATTTGATCATTTGGTGATTAATCATCTAAAAGCGAAGCAGTTCAAACTTCTTCATCTTGGGTATAATGTTTTCTCATTTCAGGCTACTGCATTTCAGACCACGTGTCATTCCCTATAGTATCATTTCTTTGTTTAACATTTACACGTCAGAAGAAAAATATAAATACAACTCAAGCAAACAATCTTATTCTGAAGATAATGACACGAGGTTTGAAATGGGAAAATATTCCAACGGGTATTGTTGATCACAGGATAAAATTCGAATCTCTTTTTTCACCAGCCAACGAACCCTATGCTATGGCCATGGTTAACAAAGCCATTGCTGAGTACCACCAGAAAACGTGTATTCGCTTTAAAAAGAGAACAACTGAGAGAGATTATGTCTCTGTGTACAAAGGAGGCGGGTAAGATTTGCCAACAAAAATAAACGAGGAAGCATTCTCATTACTAGCGTGTTGCATGTTATACAATACTATAAAAGCACTTGTTAACACTCTAGAAATACCTTTGTTTTAATTATCCAGGTGTTGGTCTTTACTTGGAAAAACTGGAGGCAAACAGAAGATCTCTCTAGGTGGTCTATGCTGGAGCAAAGGAATAGCAGTACACGAATTTGGTAAGTAATGATTTATTAGAAGGATAATATGCAACAATTATTCGCCGAAGGCGAAGTGTATTATTGGTGGAATATTCAACGAGCCGCGAGAGGCGAGGTAAATATCTCCATAATCATTGTGCCCAATCACAGCTCGGGAAACTCTATATTCAAATTTACAATTATACTAAAATGTAATAAGCATTCTATTTTATAATTTTCTTCAAAATATTGCATGGTTTCAGTCACCTGAGAGAAGTGCTTGAATCTCATTATTTGCTCCAAATGGCGGTCAAACACTGAAAATTATTTGCTTTAGCCGAAAACAGTTGCAGGAACGCAACCACACGCACAAGGATCAAACATGTTTCATTCTTGTGCTTGTGCTTGCGTTTCTCAGTGGTTGGATGGAGTCTTCTGGTGCTTATATGCTTAAGCTTGCGTGAAAACCAGGCTTTATATTAAAAACTTGCGATTCAGCTGTATATTCAACAATAGTTCGTGGGCAGGCATTTTTTTGTCATTTCCAAAAACCTCCTTCTTCTGCTTCTGCTTCTGATCTCTCCTTTTTCTTCGACTTCTTATTAATCCTACTTTATGCATACCTATCCACTCTACATGGAGATTTTTTTTAATGAATTATTTTACCATTGTTTTAACTAAACGTCAGGTCATGCTCTTGGTTTCCACCATGAACAGTCTCGTCCAGATCGAGACAACTACATAGAAATCAAATTTGAAAACGTCCTCGATGGTAAGACCACAAAACATTTGTGAAGTAGACGTAGGACTTAGATAACATAAAAAAAACCATTACAGTGCGACTACTCCAACCAAAGCCACCTCGACAAATTTTCTACAAATTAGCCAATCAAAAGTAGAAATCTGAACAATAGAATTGCTACAAATCGGACAAATAACCATGGGTTTACACGGCTTAGAAGACTGCCGGCACCTTTGTTGTCGAATATAAACGTGCTGTCGCATAGCATCATAGTGATAAGATCTAACAGTGTCAGCCTGATAATATCTTTGTCTGGAAGAAACAAACTGTAATAATAAAGATTGTGTTTTATACGGTTTCTAATTTGCTTTCCTGTCGTGTTTGAAGTCGTACATTGCTATTTTTCTATATCTTTGGTGACACAAATCACTAATTTGAGAAGAAAATATATTACAAGCTCTTCTTCATCATTTAGTTTTACCAACCGGAACAACAGAAGAATATTTAAATTCAAAATTTGCCACTAATCTATTGTCTAAATACTCAAACACTATTGGATAATTTGTGGAAAATTTGTCMAGGTGGCTTTAGTTGGAGTAGTTGCACTGTAATAAATGATTATCCATTGATGACCTTCTCACAAAATGATATATTTTGGGGACGTATATCATAACGAACTTGAAAATAATATGATTGAATATATATTACATATTATCATGTATGATAATAATTGTTATTATTAATGATGATTATAATGATAATGATGATTTTCGCGTATTGAGTTTTGCCTATCGCTTTGGGCGTCGACAACTTTTATTGAAATAGGTGTATATATGCGATAAATGTATGCTACAACGTTTCAGCTATTCCTTGTATGATTATAGGAAAAAGTTCTAACTTCAAGAAGCAGTCTTTAGGCATAGACTCACTGGGTACCCCATACGATTATGATAGCGTGATGCATTATGGGTCAAGAGCTTTTTCTAAGAATGGGCTGCCAACAATTGTACCCAAGAAACAAGGGGTATTTACAAGATAATTATTAATATTATTAGAGAATATTATTAGATTAGATTAGATGATTAAATTATTAGTATAGATTTCGGTCACCCAATTGTAACCAAGAAGTAAGGGGTAGGTACAAGATCATTATTATATTTATCAGAGATACATAACTCATTATTATATATCGCTTGTACCCATTGTACCCAAGAAGCAAGGGGCATTTACGATGTCATTATTATTATCATTATTACTATTATTATTATTAGAGAAATAACTCATTATTATGAATTTTCGAGCACCATTTGTTCCCCCCAACTAAGGGGTATGTATTGTCAAGTCGTCTGATAATTGGGTATTTCACAAAAAACGAAAAAATAAACGAACATTTTTTAAATCATTGTAGGTGACCATTGGACAAAGACGTGGTTTAAGTGCAATTGACACCATCCAGCTGAATAGAATGTACAAATGTGAAGGTGGTGGTAAGTATGGATACAAGGATTGAACTGACTTGAATTGAATTTAAACTTTATGTAATCACGGTTACTCTGTCAA